TTTTTTTTTTTTCATTGCAGTACCTAAAGCATGTTAAGCCACTGAGTGACTTCCCGATATTCGAACGTTTTCCTGTACTAGTAAGTGTAGCTATTATGTGGATATACTCGATTATTCTCACGGCTAGTGGAGCTTACCGAGGGAGACCTCATGCTACTCAACTTAGTTGCCGTACGGACAGGGCAAATCTTATATCCACGGCTCCATGGTATTTTATTTGAAAACAAAAAATGTTGTTTTATTTTTTCAAGATTCTTGATCTGATCTCTTTTTTTTTTCTTTCTTTTACTTTGTTTAAGGTTCAAGTTCCCGTATCCTCTTCAGTGGGGCCCACCGACTTTTGCAGCTGGTCACGCTTTTGCAATGATGTCTGCTGTTCTTGTGTCGATGGTCGAGGTATATAGACATTATATGGTTCTGTTTTTGGAATTTTGCAGATCAGGATTATTCTCTGTTTAATTTAGAGGCTAGTTATTTATTTACCCCTTATGACTCTAGATTTATTATATGTTGATGTATAGTTGTTTTGTTTGTTTGTTCAGCTCGTTTGATTTCGCTTCAGATATATGATGTGAATCATTTTACTGTGAAGTGAAAATTTTACGAAAAATGAATTTGGACACTTAATAGAATTTTTATTATTTTAATCGTGTTAAATACCGCTTGATTTTTCGGCTAATTGTGCAGTCAACAGGAGCATACAAAGCTGCATCTCGTCTTGCAATAGCGACTCCACCACCTGCCTATGTACTCAGTCGGGGCATTGGTTGGCAGGTGTGCCAACTCATCCAAAACTCGAGTCTAATTTCTCTTTCCTTAAAAATAAATTCTGCTCCCGAGGGAAAAATATGAGTTGATTTTAATATTTTATTACCTTTATCATGATTCGTGATGGATTTTGAATATGACGACACCTTGTGTGATGTATCTTTGTTGCATTAAGGATCAAGAAAATGTTAATGCATGTGAAAGCAAAATATATTATGCAAATAAATGATCTATGATTATGTTGATATTATTATTGGTAAATTTCTACTGGAAAGTTGATAACAATACAAAAACTTAAGACAAGCTTTAAGCTAAAGTGATTTTCATGGTAATATTGTCTTTAGATGAGCTAAACTACTCGATATTTTGCAGGGCATAGGTGTTTTGCTCGATGGCCTTTTTGGAACACTCGCTGGCTCTACAGTATCCGTGTATGTGATTTCATATTCGATTCAAAAAAAAAAAAAAAAAATGGCGGATTGAGAATTGTACAAAAATCTTGAGCCTAGTACTTGAAAGTGGGGGTTTTAATTTAAAGTTTAAACCTTTTTTTTCAGGGAAAATGTGGGACTTCTTGGATTAACTCGGGTTGGAAGCCGTAGAGTGGTTCAGATTTCAGCTGGCTTCATGATATTCTTTTCTATCTTAGGTCAGTAAGCTCTTGTTGATATCATGAGGGTTAATGAAAAATACTGCCCTCTGTAATTTATTGTGGTTAAAAAATTAATCTTTGTTCGAAATAACGAGACCCCCTTAAGAAATTAACAATAACCATGAGTTAAAAAAATACTATTTTTCGAAACAACGAGTCCCCCTTAAGAAACTAACAAAACTCAACAAATTACTATATGGCACATGAATTTTCTTTTTATCTATCTCTAAAATAAAAGTTAACCAAACAATCATTTTTATGTACTGCTGCTGCTGATGATTTTGGCTCTTAACGCAGGCAAATTCGGAGCTGTTTTTGCATCTATACCATTTACAATATACGCTGCAATATACTGTGTTCTATTTGGCCTTGTAGGTATGGTATTTAAACTATTAAATTATCTTACATAAAAGAGTTTATAATATATCCTCCTCAAGATTCATATCATTTTTTACAATTGTTAATTGATCTTTTGCCTTTTAATATGTGCAGGTTCGGTTGGCTTATCATTCCTTCAATTCACTAACATGAACTCGATGAGGAACCTCTTTATAACGGGTCTTTCGCTTTTCCTCGGCATCTCTATTCCTCAGTTTTTTGACGAGTATTGGTCATTCACTCGTCGTGGGCTCGTTCACTCTAATGCTGGATGGGTGAGAGATTCTTTCAAATCAAGTAAATCAAAATTCAACCTACAATAACTTCAACATGAATGCAATTAACCGTGAAGTACTTTCTCTCTGTCTTTCTTTTTTTTTTTTTTTTTCAGTTCAATGCAATCTTGAACACCATTTTCATGTCGCCCCCAACAGTCGGGTTAATCATAGCCGTATTTCTCGATAACACATTGGAAGTGGAGAAGTCGAAGAAGGATCGAGGCATGCCGTGGTGGGTTAAGTTCCGAACGTTTAGAGGCGACAATCGGAATGAAGAGTTCTACACATTGCCATTCAATCTCAATAGATTTTTCCCTCCCACATAGACTAAATAAGCCATTTTTTTTTCTCACTTTTTTTAGGTCCCTTTTGAGAAAAAAAA